GCATATTTCTATTATAAAAAATAAAAAAAATCAGTTTGTTTTTTATATATTTTTGAAAAATTGACTAAAATTCAACTTAAGTTTCATTTAATTTGATAGTTGAAGGTATACAGTCAATTCTTGTTATAACAAACTCTATATCCTAAACCTCAACTTTGCTATAAGGCTATAATGAAGATTTTAAGAGATTTGATTGGCCAATTCATTATAATAAGAGTATTTTTATTATATTTGTTCAAAAAATTTGTTATATCAAGAGTTCGCTATATCAAGAGTTGACTGTATTTCTATTATAAAAAGTAAAAAAATCAGAAAAATTAACTAAAATTTAACTTAAGTTTTATCTGATTTTGATAGTTAGAGATATGTTTCTATTATAAAAAAATCAGTTTATTTTTTGTATATTGTTTGAAAATTGACTAAAATTTAACTTAAATTTCATCTGATTTGATAATTGGAAGCATATTCCTATTATAAAAAGTAAAAAAAATCAGAAAAATTGACTAAAATTTAACTTAAGTTTTGTCTGATTTTGATGATTAGAGGCATATTTCTATTATAAAAAAATCAGTTTGTTTTTTTGAAAAATTCAACTTAAATTTCATTTGATTTTAATAGTTAAAGATATGTTTCTTTTATAAAAAATAAAAAATCAGTTTGTTTTTATATATTTTTTAAAAAATTGATTAAAATTTAACTTAAGTTTCGTTCGATTTAATAGTTAGAGATATGTTTCTATTATAAAAAGTAAAATAAATCAGTATATTTTTTAAAAAGTTAACTAAAATACAGTTTTTTCTTTATCTAATTTTGATAGTTGAAGGTGAAAATTGACTAAAATTTAACTTAAGGTCTTTTTGTTCTTGAGACGATTTTTTTTTAGCATTTTGGTAAAATATAAAAAGAGAAAATTTGAAAATGATTGTAAAAAGATAAAGTTTGAATTGAAATTATTTTAAAAAGAAAAAAATTAAGCTTATTTATATAAAATATTCCTATTGTTATCTTACGATACTAATGACTGAAAATTAGTATTAACGTAAGATTAACAAAGGGATTTAGCTTTTATTCAATACTTTTAGAAAGAGCTCTGAAGGGTTTATAAATAATTATTACTTCAAACGATAATGTATATTTAGAATAAACTTTGAGGATTTTATTAAAGAATAAGGAATTCGCTACAATTATATTTGTTAGCATATAATTGTTATTAGTATTTATCTTGTTGGTGATAAAACTAATTGAGTTCCAATTGTTTACAAATTATTATCTTTTGTTATCTACTACTGTCTATTACTACCTAATATTGTTCTGCCTTAACCAAGTCCTAAAGCTATTCTATTTATACTAAATTTGCTAATATAAATAAATAAAATATATTGATTTTATATGCTTATTTGACCGAATTGATACTATAACTAAATTGGATTAACAAAGTGGTATAGTATGTTGCAGATCTAAATGTCAAATATATCAGATATATTTGATATATCTAACATAACAGATATACTAAACATATTAGATATATTTGATTTATTTGTTATATCTATCTATGTAGTTAATTTTATATAAATAGAGAATGATAAAATTATATAAACTTTAATTCGCTTCTAGTTAACTTTTAGTTTTGCTTTTAGGTATACATTTAGTAGTTCTTTTAGAGGCGTCTAGCCTAACCTTTGCATTTAGTACTTTAACTCTTTAATTTCTCTTATTTTCTTATTTTCTTATTTCTTTATTTCTTATTTATTTCTTATCACAAATAAACATATTGTTATACCTCTGAATCAATTGAACTATCTTGCTTTTAGTCTTATTACGAGTATACTACTATGTAAATTATAAATCTTGAATTAAACTGAATTGAATAACTACATAAACTTAAAAGAATCACCACTTGAGTATCTTGTTTAACTGTTACAATTTGCAAGGATTGTATATTAATATTTAGCAATGACAATAGGACTCTCTTTTCCTATTTATGTAATACTATAAGAAACACTCTATAAACAACTTTAGAGAATTGATAAAATATCAATGAAACCATTTAGCTATACATAATAGACAAAAATGTAACTTTAGAAAATCTACTAGTAATTTTTTCTTGACAGATAACCCATCTTGTATTGCTTGTAATTCACCTCTTAAGGAAATCTCATAACCTTTCCTTAACTTCTTTGAATAGGTAGAAAAGGTCTTAGAGATATCATTATATACTAGTAAAAATTTAGAAATCTTTCAGACTGCAAACGCTATAGAAACTACTAATATATAAGAAATATACTACAGATAGATACTTAACACCCTTAAATATAAGAATACACCCATACCAATTTTTGAACAAGCAGTTACCTATTGTATTCAAGCTCAAATCAAAACTGATTCCTTTCAGAAGAAATTTCAAGGCTATTTACTTACCTACCTCAATATATCACTCGTAAATCTAAGTCATAATTCTTCTCCTTTTAGAATAACTGGACTTTTTAGAACAACTACTCTCAAAAGTAGCAAAATTTCTAAATCAGCTAAAGAAAATTCCTTCTCTTTTCAAGGAAACTACCCACCTGAAGAGACCATAATTGCTAATACTATCTCCTAATAGAAAAAATACTAATAAACAGACTTTAAGTTTTAATGAATCAACTTTTAGCTCTTATAGGAGAATAGGAAAACTATTTAAGCTGACCTTTGCAGAATCTTCTGATGAAGAAGAAGTAACCTCAGATTAAAAGAATACTAGCCTCTTACATTTTTCAAAACACAAAACCAGTTGTTTACAGGATCAAGATAAAAGTTTAAGAAAAAAGAGGTAACAAACGGAAGAGCTGTCACTTTCCTTCCTATTATAATAATTCTTCATCTTCCTCTGATTCTGACTCTAAAAATTGTGATTCAAACAATGATGATAAAGATCCTTACGATGCAGAATATGCTAAGAACTAAGATGAATGAAATTTCTTTTAAATAATAAAAGGTCTTTAAATTATCTTCAAAACTGTTAGATTTGGTAGATTACAAGAGGCTAAATTTGTGAACTTACCAACCTTTAAGGATGGAAACTAAGATCCTAAAGAATGGTTAGAGAGATATAATCATGTTGGGAATGCAAATGGAATTTCTAATAAGCGACGTCTCATGTTAGTTCCTTCTTTTCTCAAGGGATCAGCCCTTACTTGGTACAATAAAACCAAGAATAAAAAGATTTGTGATATTAGAATAATTCTAGTGATTAACAACATAAACACTGATCTTTCATCTATCACTTCCTGAAGTATTATTGCATAACTCACAGAAGGATACAATGGCGTTCTGCATTTAAGCAATGCAAATAATGTCCTGAACAATCTATAGAGAACTATACTGCTGATATTGAATCATTATATCTCAAACTTAATTCTGATTACAATACACCGGAGGATGAAAAAATTGAGCAATTTTTGTAAAGACTTTGACTTGAATTTTTGATTGCAGTAGCTGTCACTGTATCTTGTGATTTAGAGGAAGCAATTAATCGAGTTCAAGCTATTGAAGCTGTCCTTTCTAAAGATAGTATTCTCTCAGGGTATTCTCTCAGTAAAACCTATTTGAACCAACATGATAAGAAAACTGAGCAAGAAAAAGCCCCCAATATGCAGCAGTTGATTAAGAAAAACAATGAAAAATTGATGAAGGAATTTAAATAATTATTAACCACTACTACAACTAATTCACTTGCTGATAATAATAGCCATCCTATATATAATAATAACAATTAGAGAAATAGTACTAATAATAATAATCAAGTGTGTTATAATTGCAAGCGACCTGAACATATTGCTAAGAATTGCAGAATATGAAATGGCCAAGATGGCAATTAAAATAACTTCTAACAGAATAGAAATAACACTTACCAGAATGAAAATAGATGCTTTACTTACAAACGAAAAGAATACATGGCCAAAAATTGTAATATAACACCTAATGGACCCTATTCATACTGCCACCAATTCGAACATTGAGAAAACTTATATCCAACTAGATCAGCATTAACCTTCAATAATGGTCAACCACAATTTAATCAAACAGATCAATAAGCTGCATTATCACAAAAAAGTTCTATGTATACTACTCCAAATTCGTTTTTACCACCTCCCCTTCACAACCTTCCATAACATTTTCTTTTACTAATACTTTTATGACCAATAGTACCTTCTTTTCCAATCCATTTAACCAGTCTTTAAACTATTAAGGATACCTTCAGAGGATAAGAGTATCAGTCATTATTTAAACTCCTCCAATGAAATTGATACACCTAAAGCTGTAAAAGCTATTTACTGTTATGCATTTGTGGATAGTAAACCTATTTATTTAATTTTAGATTCAGGATCTACTGGAAGTGTTATATCAAAAAGTTTCTTGCAATAAGTAAATAGAAAAATCAAAGGTCTGTCAATGATTACAATGATTAATATACAAGGTGGATACTCAAGATCATTAAAAAAGATTACCAATATTCTAATACAAATTGGTGATGTAAAAATTCTCATCAATATCAATATAACTGAGTCTAATGATTATTACATTGTAGCTGAAAATAATTGGTTAACAAAATGTCACAGATAACTTTATTGGGACTGTTAGAAATTTATTTTTCAATGAAACTAAAAGGAACATCAGGTTCCTATAACTTGTTAGGAAAAAGCTCAATTTGACAAATTTCAATAATCTACACTAATTCTTACAAGTTCTATAAATGATGAGTATGAGGACAAAAAATTGACTATGTAATAATACTATATGATATTAGAAGATAATGAAGAAGAATCAATCTTAGCTGAAAGTAACCCCAAACAAGTGATAGTTCAAAAAAAAACTTATTTATCACAGTATTTCGAGAGCCTTAAATAAAAATTCAGATATCAACCACCTGAAAATTTAAAGTGGAATTACCATTGACAAGACCCTGAAAATAGATGTTAGTATCATAAACAATTTGATCAAGCTGAGGATATATGTTCATTATATTAAAAGGAATGGAGACATTGATAATTTTTACAAAATATTCCTGAAGGAAAACTAGCAAAAATCAATTTATATGCTCATTTAGATCAAAAATAACAGAAGGGTTTTTGCAGGTTAACACTAATGCATTTGTAAATGATTTATCATAATTAAGTCATACCATTATCGAGAAACATCATATTCTCATAGAGAATTCCCTTCTAATATAACAACGAGCTTATTGAGTTACACCTTTAGAGCAAAAATTTATTAAGAAAGAAATTAATTGAATGCTAAAATACAATCTTATTTAACTATCTGAAAGTCCTTGGGCTTCACCTATTATTCTAGTACGAAAGAAAAATAGAAGTCTACAATTTTTGTGTTGACTATTAGAAGCTAAACAATATTACTAGAAGAGATGAATATCTCTTACTATGAATCGATGAACTATTGAATATGTTTGGATGTTTTAAGTATTTTTCTACCTTAGATTTAGCTAGTGGATACTGGCAAGTAGTAATGGAAGTGGAAGATCAAGCAAAACAGCTTTCATTACAAGTTAAGAATATACGAATTTAAGATTATACTATTTGGACTCACAAATGCATCTGCTACTTTTCAGCAATTAATGAACAAAGTTTTTAAGAAAGAAATTGGACAATTTGTAGCAGTTTATCTTGATGATATTATTATATTTTTTTTCACCTTTAGGAATATATACAATACTTAAAGCATATTTTTGAAAAACTAAAGAAGACAGGATTAAGACTTGACAATAATAAATGCGAGTTTTGTAAACTAGAACTTGCATTTTTGGAATACATTGTTAGCGGATAAGAAATTTCGCCAGACCCATCAAAAATTGATAAAATTAAGAACTTCCCAATTCCTAAAAATATTACAAAACTTAAAGGATTTCTTGGACTAGTCTCTTATTATCATAAATTTATCTAAGAATTCTCTATTAAAGCTGCTCCTTTACATTTACTATTGTGAAAAGAAAGTTCTTTTGTATAGACCTTATCTCAGCAAAAAGCATTTGAATATTTGAAAAGTTGTTTGATTACAGCACTAATTTTAATATACTCAGACTTTAAACAGAAGTTTTTATTATTCACTGATAGATTTTATGTAGGACTTGAAGCAGTACTAGCATAACTGGATGATCAAAATAGAGAATACATTGTTGCGTATGCTAGCTAAAATTTAAATAATGCTAAGCGAAATTATGCACCTATAAATTGGAGTGTCTTGCTGCCATTTGGGAAATAAAACATTTCAAATCATATTTACTTTATCAACTATTTGAGTTAATCACTGATCACACAACCCTACAATGGTTATTTAATAAACTAAATCCACCAGAAAATTTATAAGATGAGATCATTAGAATTATGGAGTTTTCCTATAAAATTAGATACAGGAAAGGAAAAATTTATTCAAACACAGATGCTTTATCTCAACTTCCCTCTCTTACCATTTAATTACAACTCAGAAAATAATAATATAAAGAGTGAAAGCTTAAGTGTCAGTAGTGTGACTGACAGCTCTAACAACCAAAATGTACTTAGAAACCTATAACCAACTTTATAATTTCCTCAATACCTTAACTTATCCATCAACTACTACTCCTGCACAATAACTTGAAATTCAAAAACAATTCTACAGATATTTTATTAAAAACCAACAACTTTATCGTAGGAATCAAAAACAACCTTTACAACTTCTATTAGTCATTAGAAATATTAAAGTTAAAATCTTGATCTATAATGTATACAACGAACCTCTAGGAGAACATCTAGGTTGTTATATAATTTATAATAAAATAGCCTCTAAATATTACTGGCCAAACATGTATTAAGTAATCGATAATTAGATAAAAACTTGTAATATTTATCAATGATAAGAAAAACCTAGATGAATGGAATTTTTACATCTAATACCTGTCAGACAACTATTTGATCATATTAAAATAGATTATGTAGAACCCCTTTCTCAAACCACTAAAGGAAACAAATACATTATAGTTGTCACTGAATATCTTACCAAATAGGTAGAGACCACTACAACTCCTGATTGTACTTTTTAAATAACTATACAATTCATTTATAGTAAAATAATTTGTCAACATAATACATCAAAGGAAATCTTAACAGATAGAGCTATGTCTTTCCAAAATGAATTAATCATCACTCTTATGCATATTATTGAAACCAAATATAAATTATCATCTTCATACCATTCTCAGATCAATGGATTAACTGAGCGATTCAACCAGACTCTCTGTAATATTTTAGCAAAATATGTAGAGCAACATAAAGGTGAATGTGATTCCTATCTACCTTCAACCCTGTTTGCTTATCGAACTGCGCAACAAGGAATGATCAAATTAGAGCCTTTTGAATTATTATATGGGTGAAAAGCCATGTTACCCATCAACTTATAATTGCAATGCCCTTCTCCTGAGAGTAACCTCTCACAAGCAATAGATAAATACCATTAATTAATTTTAACCTAATTAGAATAAAGAAGACTTGATGCATAACAAAATATTTTGCAATGTCAACAATAACAACAGAAATATTATAATAAAAGTCACCTTAGAATAAATTACTAAATTGGTGACAAGGTGTTAATATTTAATGTATCATAGTTACATGGTCATGGTAATAAATTTAAAGATAAATTTGATAGACCATTCTACATACATGATATTGTATGACCTGGTACATACAAATTATGCGCTATAGATGAATGAGTTAGAAAAAATCCAGTACATGTTAATCTCTTAAAACCATATTTGAAAAGATCTAAATAGACACTACAAGTCATCATTAGTTAATAAGTTTCCTTTAAATATAGGCCTAGTAGAGACCCTAACGAAACTATTTTGAAAAATTTAAAATAGCTATACTAGATAATTTTGAAACTGTATTGAAATAATTAAAATATATGATAAATCTCTCAATTATGATCACTCAGAACTTAGAACCTTATAAAACTGATACGACTCTATCACAAAAAGTGCAATTAACTTACTAAGCTTTCTTACAATCAATGTATATGAATAATCAACTTTTATCACTTATCAACTCCTTTTATTTAAGATAACTTCTCAAAGATAAAACTCTTACTCCCGCTCAATATACCTTACAGGCCTCTACTATTATCACGCATTATTATCAAACTGCTGTACAAGTCTTTTATTTGTTTGAAAATCTTGGAGTCTAATAAATCTTAATACTCAGTCACTTACCTTGACGATGGTTAACGTTTGAAAACTACTGAATATCAAGCCCTGGTAATTGAAGCTTTAAATCTTTCTGCTGAAACAGAAATCTTAAGCGAGAAGTAATATAACTGGATTGGATATTAATGAAGTAGCACAATATGTTGCAAATCTAAATGTCAAACATATTAGATATATTTGACATATAAGATATATTTGATATATTTGACATAATAGATATATCAGATATATTAGATATATTTGATTTATTTATTATATCTATCTATATAGTTAATTTTATAAAATAGAGAATGATAAAATCATGTAAACTTTAGTTCACTTCTAGTTCACTTTTAGTTTTCCTTTTAGTTTTACTTTTAAATACACATTTAGTAATTCTTTTAGAGACGTCTAACCTAACCTTCACATTTAGTACTTTAACTCTTTAATTTCTCTTATTCTCTTATTTTCTTATTTCTTTATTTCTTATTTATTTCTTATCACAAATAAACATATTGTTTTAAATTAAATTGAATTAAATCACTATGTAAACCTAAAAGAATCACCATTTGAACATCCCGTCTAACTATCACAATTTGCAAGGATTATATGTTAACAATATCAAATTAAGGCCAATTTTAGACTGATTTATAGTTATTTAAATTCTGAATTGATGCTGAATGATACTGTATTGAAGTTAATTTTAAGCTGATTTATAGTTATTTAAGTTCTTAATTGATTCTGAATATTGCTGTATTGAGGTTAATTTTAGGCTAATTTATAGTTATTTAAGTTCTGAATTAATGCTAAATAATATTAAATTAAGG